TACCTGAATGAGAACGTCATCAGCATAGGATGTGATGCTGCATAGGTCTCCTAACTCACTATTAAGCTTGCAAAGAGAATGCATAAAAATGTTAAATAGTGAAGGGGACAAAACACCTCCTTGTGGAGTTCCTAACTCGAGTTCACCATAATTACTGTAGGTGCCTTGGTAACATACTCTTGCTCTTCTCAAAGACAGATAATCCTTTATCCATAGCAGAAGCTTGCCCTTAACTCCTAGGAGAGTTAATTAATGGAGGATTGCAGTAGGGGAAGCTCTGTCAAATGCACCCTTGAAATCTATGAAGTAAGAAGACTGTGCATTACTTCCATTGAGGTACTGTGCCAGGCACATTTGTGTTCCTTTCCCCTTTTGGAAACCAAAGACTGATGGGTGAATTTGATCTTTGATCTGGTGGAGCAGACGATTGAGGAGGATCCTTTCACAGGTTTTAGAGAAACAGGATGTCAGAGAAATCGGTCTAAATTCATCAGGACACCCTGGTTTTGGGATAGGAATAATGGTGGCTTGTTTCCAGGAAGTAGGCAAGAGGCCTGTAGAATAAGTTAAGTTGAAGAGATCAAGAAGAGGATTTCTTCCCTGTACCTGTACCTTTGCAAGGAGGCGAATGATGTCGTAAGTGATTCCATCATCCCCAGGTGCAGTGGATTTGCTAGTTTTAATAGCTGCAAGAAGTTCGTGTCTTGTAAATGGTGCATCAGCCTCATCTAAAAGTTGGCACTGATAGTTAATTTCATTTTTGTGTTTTGACTTAAGGGAGCATCTACGAATGGATAATGGAAGATTATCGAGAGAAGAGTTTTCGCAGCATTTACTGAGGATTGACAAAGCTACCCTTTCTGGATGAGGGTGGGGAGTGACATTGTGTGCATTGCCTTTAATCTTATTGATTTCCCTCCACACATTACTCATGGAGCTCGTGGTCAATCGATTCTGCCCAGGCATACAATCTCTCTTCCCGCTTTTGTGTCATTATCTCATTAAGTTTTTTTACTAAAGAAAACAAGGTCCCTAGCTAAGTAGGGATTTTTTCCCAGTTTTTTTTAGCTGATTTACTGTAGACCTTATTAGCTTTCTAAGTAGCTTTATTTCCTGATCTTTGTTAAGGTGATATGCTCGTTTGCCTCTGGAGGATGACCTATATTTGACAGGGTTTCTGGGTTGGAGTTGGGTAATGAGGTTACCAACTTGTTGACAGAGAGTTTCATTAAAGTGATCAAGGCTGGTAGGAACATAGTGTTCATACCAGCAGCCAAACCTTTTAATAAACTCATCATGATGTTTAGTAGCAAGATGGTATCGAAGACGTGGCTGGGGCGGGCTTCTTTTAGCGAATGGGAGGGTGATACTTAATGCCCAATGATCACTGACTAAGAAAGGGACAACTTCCGCAGTGCATGGGAGTGGGTGCTGATTGTATAAGACTATATAATCTAATTTGCCACCTAGATAATGAGTCTTTTCAAAGGGGCACAATAGGTGTATGGGATCACTGGTGTTTTGAAGATAATCATAATATACCTTACCGTTTTTACCTATGGTGCTTCCCTCAGAGCCAAGGAGAGGATGACGGGCATTAAAATCTCCACACAGTAAGACAGTAGCATTATGTATCATACTGTCGGGAGGTTTAGGTACCACTTCACTATCATGTGGGTTATGCACATTAATGATGGTGATGGTTCTACCATCAAGAAATATTTTAACACCAAGATATTCAGCACTTGCATTGTCACGTTTGTCATCGATCACTTTTGATGGGATACTATTTTTTATGTAAATACCAAGTCCTCTTGTAGAAGGATTAGCAATATTAGGTTTGTCGTGATATGTGTATCCTGCAATTTTTGCATAACGAGCATCAGTTCTAACTTCCTGAAGGCAACACACATCAACATCTTCCGAGTGAAGATACTGAGCGAGGGTCGCCTTGCGTTTCTGTAAACTGTTAATGTTCCAGGTAATGCACTTTAACAGATTATTTTGATCCATCGATCATCACTTGACCGTTTCCAAGGCCCACTGGATGTTGTCGTTGCTCGAGGAAGAGCGCAAAAATCCTCTCCTGGAACTGCACCATCTGTTGCTGCATCATGAACATCATCTGCTCCATCTGCTTGAACAACATTTGTATCAAATCTTTCATTTCCCTGTTGGATTCTTGCTTTTCCTGCTGCGGTGAGGGAGGAGCTGGAGCTGGTGATGGCGTCGGTGCTGCAGCTGGCACTGGAGCAGGAGCTGCAGCTGGTGCTACAGCTGGCGCTGGAGTGGGTGCTGCAACTGGAGTAGAAGCTGCAGCTGGTTGGTGTGCAGCTGGTGCAGGTGCTACAGCTGGTGATGTGGCCGGTGCCATGGCTTTGTTTGCAGAGGCCTTCAGAGTTGACCTCTGCAGGTGTGGGAATTCCCCGCACGTCATTAAGACGAGGGGCTGGGCGGGATTTATTGGGGGGAGGGGCTGCCTGCTTTTTTTCCTGTGTTGCCTTGCTGTCCTTCGGGTAATAGGCGCATAATGGCGAGTTGGCATTATGCTCCTGACGGCAGTTCACACATTTCCGAGGGATGATTTTACCTTCAGAAATTTTCTCTGCGCACTTTGAGCTTTCATGCGAAAGAGCGCAATATCGGCACCGCGTTGCCTCTCGTGGACACGCACGTGCCCCGTGTCCCCACTTTGAGCAATGGGAGCAAAACGGGGTCAGAGATTTGAAGATGGCACATCTAAAGGGTGCCATGCCCTCCACCATTTTGATAGTTTTGGGGATTACCTCCCCCTCATATGTTATGATGACTCTCTGGGTCATCAATCCATTGATCTTCATGCGTTTGGCATGTACGACGCGTTCATTGTAAGACGTCATTTCATCTGTTTCGATTTCTCTTGGGACGTCGAACACAATAACATTTGTGCACTTGCCTTTTCCATACACTTTCGCCTTTTCTAAAATTTCGTCACATGCACCGGCAGTGGTTATGTGGGCAAGAATTTGTTCATTTTTACATCTCACATACACATTGTTTCTCCCAATCTTAAGTTCAATGGACCCCTTTGTCTTATTGTAATGGTCCAATTTTAAAGCCTGGGATACCCAGCGATACTTATCCCCGTGTGTCCGGAGCTTTGTGTCGGCTTTAAAATGTGCGCACAGGTGTCCAGGGGGCGTGATTTCTACAGAGTCAGGTAGTAGTCTTTTTGCCTTTTTCTTTATTGGTTCCTGGGGGAGGCCACTGATATCTTCCTCGCGGAGGACACCATATCTACCCTCGGTTTCCATGGGCGTGTCTGTCATTGTTTCGTTTGAGGTCGGGGTCATTTCCTGAAGAAACAGGGCCCGACCTGACCTCCCTGTGCAAACCCAGGTGCACACACGGGCCGCTTACGCCGCGCCCACACAGCACATCTGTGTCCGTACGTAGTTTTTTTCACTTATTTTACTTCACTATTTGATATTTAGATCACTTTAGATTCAGAACAAATAATCATGTGAACATTATCGCGCACTGCAGAAATCCACAGCTGGCAGGTCTATGAAGACCTAATAGTCAAAGTAACACAAATCCCGTAAGGACAGGTCAAGGTCACAAGAGGTCACACAGCACGTCTGCACACTATGGTGACAGGATGATGACTGGGAGAGGGAGAGAGAGAGAAAGGTAGAGAAAGGGAGAGAGAGAGAAAGGTAAAGCGAGGGAGAGGGAGAAAAAAATAGTAAGAGAGAGACAGACCCACAGAGAGATAGAGATAGAGCGACAGAGAAAGAGAGAGCCAGAGATAGAAAGGTAGAGAGTGAGACACAGAGAGGGAGAGAGTGGGTGTCATGTGTGCGTGTGTGTTAGAGAGAGAAAGTGAAAGAGAGAGAGAGAGAGAGAGAGAGAGAGAGAGAGAGAATGAAAGAAAGACAGACAGAGAAGTAGAGTGAGAGCGCGCATGAGGATAACAGACAATGAACGCAATGAAGCAATTCGACAACAACTCACTATTATGACTTCATGAATGTTTCTTAAGCAGTAGCTTGTCATGAAAATCAACACGGTTAATAAATTGTATGACAGTAAGAAAGAAAGAATAGGAAAGAGAGAGAAAGAGAAAAGAGAGAGATAGAGAGAGAGAGAAAGAGAAAAGAGAGACAGAGGGGGAGGGAGAGAGAGAAAATGAGAGAGACAGAGACAGAGAGGGAGGGAGAGAGACAGACAGACAGACTGATATAGATAAATATAGTGAGAGAGAGGTGAAGAAATAGAGAGAGAGGAAGAAAGGTAGAGAGAAATAGAGAAAGGGGGAAGGGGACATACGGGCAAAGAGAGGGAGTGCGTGTGCGAGAGAGAGAGGAGGGGACAGAGAGTGAGAGACAAAGATGGAGATAAGCAGAGTGAGAGTGAGGGTGAGAAAGAGAGAGTGAGAGGGAGGGAGAGAGAACGAGAGAGAGAGAGAGAGCAAGAGAAGAGAGAGACAGAGAGACAGAGCGAGAGAGAGAGAGAGGGGGGGGAGAGGGGGAGAGAGAGAGGGAGAGAGAAGAGAGAGGAAGAGAGAGAGAGAGAGAGAGAGAGAGAGAGAGAAGAGAGAGAGAGAGAGAGAGAGAGAGAGAGAGAGAGAGAGAGAGAGAGAGAGAGAGAGAGAGAGAGAGAGAGAGAGAGAGAGAGAGAGAGAGAGAGAGAGAGAGAGAGAGAGAGAGAGAGAGAAGAGAGAGAGAGAGAGAGAGAGAGAGAGAGAGAGAGAGAGAGAGAGAGAGAGAGAGAGAGAGAGAGAGAGAGAGAGAGAGAGAGAGAGAGAGAGAGAGCGTGAGAGAGAGAGAGAGAGAGACGAGATAAAGCAGGGAAAGTCAATGAATAATCGTAGACAATAAAGCAATCCTGCAATAACATTATTATGTCACTGAATAATCGGCAGCAGCTAGACGTGAAAATCTTGGTTAATAATGAATTGTATCTTGAAAAATATTTATTTCTTACCAAAGCAACAACAAATTTATTTACAGCGAATAAGCAATTTTCTTGAAACCATAAAATTGAATAAGAGATTAAATGTTTTGGAAGTATACAAAATATCAAATAAGGGAAAAAAATATTTTCATGTCTCAGGTACTAACAACTTGAAGATACATTTTTTTATTTTGATATTTAGTGGTCTTCAGATGGGAGATGCAACCATGTACACTTCCCACGTCAGAGCTGTAGTTTCATGACATGATTCGTGGTTTGTGTCATGAAACTCTTATCACTGAGAATTTTGAATATTTGGTGAACCAGCACTCCGTAAACTGTAGCTTGATTTCCATAGCTGCATCGCATAATGTGGCAAATAACGCACAAATCAGACCGATATATTTCGTACCACTGAAATCAGTGATAAAAGCAATGGACCCAGTTTATGAAATACTGGGCAGCTTCTACTTATTTCGGGTTGACTGTGAAATGTTTGGCGCTTTGACCACGTGGAAGGGGTCACCACCCCCTCCGCTGCCCACTCCATGAGGCCAAAAAATTCCTGCGTGAGTCACCCGATCATAACTCGGAAGTCCTGTATTTAATCTCGTCATAGCTGAGTTCATCCCTGCAGATGGAAAAGGCGTTCCCTGTGGCACAGCGTATGCATCTGTGTGGGTTGTGTGCATTCTGGCCGTCGAGCTGTACGGTTCTTTTGTCTTAAAGAGGGTTGCTGCAGAAGAGTCGTACATTCCATCGACTGGTATATATATTGCAGGTGGCTTGTACTTCCCCATATGGATGGGCAATTGGTCATCTACTGACGTTTCGTAGAATTGTAAGGAGGGCTTCTTTGTATATGGCCCGATGTATGGGTCGTGAACATCGTTAGACTGCAAGTAAGTTTCACTTGGCTGGTCTTCTGTCGTGGGGATATATTCAGGTGCATATGGAGTTTCGCTCACCTCTTCGCCAGTTTCGTCAGACGCTCCGAAAAGGTTCTTTAAGGAATCCCACCCTCTCATTATGCTCCCGAAAGGATCGAAAGCAGACGCGACTCTTTCCCTTCCCCGCGCAAAACTTAATCCTATCTTTGGCAAAATATTGAAGATGTCGAAGGAGCTGTCTTGCGGATTTTCAGAAACATGCCGATCACCAGGTGTGTCGCCTGAGGAGATATCGATCAGGCGTTTATACGGGGGAGTGTGGTGTCCGTGAAGGGTATTGTAGCCTGTGTGAGGGTGATACACCGGCTCCATTCCAGAAGAAAATCCGAACTGTAGAAACGGTTTGAAAGGGTTATGTATGTCAGTAAAGGAGGCGTTCATCGTCAGGGCTTTATACCATCTGACGGACATCGTTTTGTTTATGGGGAAGGTCAGGCTGAACTTCGTTTCGATTGGATGATGAGGCTTCTCCTTCCTGTGGTAGTTGTGGGCCTCTGGGTGACTGTGGGAGCTGTGGTCGTCCGGGTGACTGTGGTAGCTGTGGTCGTCTGGGTGACTGTGGTAGTTGTGATTGACTGGTTCATTGTGGTAGTTATGGTGGTCTGGTTGTATATAGCTATAGGAAGAGGTTGGGTGATAAACGTGAGTGTAATCACGGTCTATGGCGTCCCTATTGGATAGCATTTGATTATAGTTTGGTTCGTTTGTAAAACTCGCTTGAGTATCCTGTAAGAAGGGCGAGTCTTCGCCTTCGACAGAATTATATTCTTCATCTGGAGATGCCAGAACATGCTGCGGATGGTGGACGAAATTTTTATCTCCGCCATACGCTACTGGAAAGTGGCGCTCTGGAACCTTATGTGGAAGAGCGTAAGTGTCAGCCACTCGAGTGTCGAGGCGGGAGTCTGTAGTGAGCTGCGGTGCAGTGGTGGTGCTCCGGCCGGACTTGCCCCACACCCACCGATGTCCTGTACCTTTGAAACGTTTCATTTTGATATTCTCTTGAGTGTTCCCGCTCCGCCGAAGAAACGGACTGGGCATAGTAGTAGAAACTGTAGGATCAAGCTTACTGGCTTCTTTCTGTTGATCCTCATTTCGATGATTTTTGTTTAGAACATTCCCTTCTTCCCCTTCTCCCGTAAGCTTTTCTCGAGGTTGAAGCTCCAGAGGCAATTTTGGACCAAGATAGTTTGCTCTAAACAATCGCGAAAGTCCAAAATTCCTTGGCGGGTTACCTCTTGATGTACCATTTATTAAATTTACACTCGTCAATTTATTGGACATGTTCCTCGTTGATATGTTATTCTCAGGCTTAATATCAAATGCTATATACTGGGGAATACTTAACGGCGGCTTGTTTGTTTGTTTTACTGGGAGTGTATAATCCCCACCTTCTGGTGGGGAAATTGAAATCGGCGACGGGTGTTCGTAAACATTAGTTGCTATGTCTGTTCGTGACGCATTCAACTCATGAGACGACTCTTCACTTGACTTGGCAGTGGAATCAGATGAAAAAAATTCTCTGCTGATGGATGCTCGACCTGCGTAAACAGGGAACGTGACAGGATAGGAAGATGGAAGCTCTGTAAACTGATTTCGACCCGGGCGTGGAGTTTGTCGCAGGAACGGTAAGAGTTTTGGGCTTCTTGGCGGGCTGTGCTGTTGATGAGTGGATTTCCCTGAAGAGGGCGATGCATGCACCCAATACGAAAATGGCTGTCGCGATCGGGACGGTGAAGACAGTCCTGTACCGACGGCAGAAGAATCGGGGTTGTTTCCCACAAACTGAAATAAACAGAACACCAGTCAGTTTGGATTCACTAAAGCATAGTGTGAGAGATAGTCGAGAAAGAAGTAATGTATAGAAGGCTAAACAGAATAAAACAAATCAAAAGAGAAACCATCATTGGTGTCATATTAACGAAACCTTTCTAGCAAGGCGACAGATTTGAAGGGGGAAGGGCATTGCGTTCCTCTCCCCCTTCCCTGCCCATGGAAGAACATTATACCAAATAAAAGACTAAAAACAACACATTTATTCATTTGGGTGGTTTCATTACATATTTCCATATATAATAACTTGCAGTAACAAAAATATACCTGATGTCGAACTGCGAAGAAAACTGTAGTGACGGTGGCATTTATCACTTTCTAAATTCAATTCAGCTAACTTCCAATATGTTTAATTCCTAAACAGTAACATTTGCCAAAGTGACCAGTGATCTGTCGGGCATATCGCAACTTATCCGTTACGAGGACAGTCTGCGTCATAATGACGTAACAAAAAAAACGAGGAGAGAGTTGTTTGATGGATATCCACGTACAAGATGTTTCGATTTCTTTACTGAAAATGTCTTACTGATGCATATCAGCGTTTTTTTTTCTCGTTTTCATTAAATTCCCATGGAATTCCATGTGGGAAAGAGAAATGGGGGTATAATCCCCAACAAAATTAAGCAAGTGATTTAAGAGACAGTAAATCAGTATGTACCTAATACCGTTGCATTGCGTTGTGTGAACATCAACCAGTCTTACTACAACCTATTTTTGTGAGATACATGAAACGTGCTGTAGAAGAGGATTACCTCAGAATCATTTGCATA